CCCACTGCAAACAAAATGTTATAGATTATATATTGTTTGACACCCTGTTAATTCTCATGCTTATGCTTATGATAAAGATATACTGATTAGAACAGCATTGTATTTGCTCAAGACAAGATTAGTACATCAACAAAAAAGATCACAAAGCCCAAAGACAGGCTCAGGCATTTATATAATTTGGTAAGGTTAAAACTTGCCTGCAACGGGAGTCACACTTGAAATGATGAATATTCCATAGGAAGTGCATGCTCCAACCCCCCAATTCAAAGCATTGCTCCAAAGGTGGTCACTCTTGACAGGCTAAAGAGTATCCATTTAGACCTAGTTCTATGCATTTACGTGAAGGAATTTTTCCTACATAAATGTGTAATTCATTTTGTGTTTAGCTTTTAGAAGTCATATCAAATTCTAGAAATTGCTCCACCACATTCTGAAACACAAAAGAGATTTTTTAAAAAAAATATTTCTTTCTTAGTTGTAGGTGAACACAATAACATTTATCTTATTTTTATGTGGTGCTTCGGATCTAATCCAGTGCCTCACGCATGCTAGGTGAGTGCTCTACGGCTGACAACCCCAGCCCAAGACTAGATTCTTTTAATATCAGTAAATATAATGAGGCCCCAATATTTTAACATATGGTGGTATTCAGTCACAGTGCTCTTCCTTGTGAATATTTGTATCATTTTCACTATGGTTTGTTGTCATAAAAGACATGTCAATGAGAATTCGCATGCACATCTTCTTGTGCATGGGATGGGGTGGGTCTCTAGGAGTCAGGTTGCCAGAGTGAGCAAATAAAAGTAGAGGCTGTCTAGTTAAATTTGAATTTCACATAAAGCCTGAGTAATTATTTGAAATTTAGTAATGGCTTTGCTGTCAGAATGTGTCAAATATTGCATAGGAACATTTACACAAAGAAAATTCTTATCATTGAACCCAAATCCAAGTTTTCCTGGCTGTCCTGTATTATTTCTGGAAACCATACTCAGGGTGAACGTCCACAAATGAATGGTTTTTGTCAAGGGGTTCTGGCCCAGGTCTGGAATGTCCTCCACAGGCTCATGTGTTGAAGGCTTGTTCTCCAGTGCAGCAATGTTCACAGGTGGGGCTCTGGGGGAACGAGTCCTCATGAGGGCTTTCACCTCATCAGGGTATTAATCTATTGGAGGTGTGACCCAGAGTGCCTACCTGGTCAGTGGCTTTTCTCTCTGCTCTGCTTTGGAGTAGCCAAGTGGGGAGCAGCTTTGCTTCACCACGCCTGCCCTACCATGGTGTTCTGCTTCATTACAGGACCAGAATCAGTGGGGCCAAGTGACCATGGACTGTCGCCTCTGAAGCCATGAGCCAACATAAGTCTTCCTTCTTGAAGGTCTTTCCTCTGGTGTTTTATCACAGAGACAGAAAACAAACAAAAGGGAATTTCAAATTTTAGTAAATGTGGCTTACCTGTTTCCAGTCTCTTAACATGTTTAATATTAATCTATTGAAATAATTTTGGCCGACATGTGGGGTACAAACTCTGTCTCTTTGTTGTTTAATTGACTTGTCCTGAATTGTTAGTGGGGATGAACAGTTGAAGAAGGGTTTACTTGCTGTTTGAATTTCTGACTGCGGGGAGTGTGTTCATGATTTGCCCTTTACCTAATTTCTTTGCTCTTCCAGCTCAGGCCAGCATGGGCAGTCGAGTGGGTTGGTAGAGGACTATGTCTCCTAGGCACAGAGAGGCAGTGAGCAGGAATGCAAGGGTGACTGCATGGCACCCTCTGAATTTGCCTAGTGTCAGATTGAGCTCAGACATGGTTATGGTCTGGTGATTCCTCTTCTGATACAGGAAACGTTTGGGCCTGAGATTTCCCCCCCGCTTGCCCTGGAGAGCCGGTCACTGGTCTGGCTGTGCACAGAGTTTTGGCTTGGGCAGCTTTTTGGAAAGGTTATGTCTGGAGGATAGCAAAGGAGGACTGAGAGTGAGTTCCATCATAGAGGTGGGGAGTGTTTCAGGGAATAGAGTTCTCCTCCAACTCACTGACTAAACCCTCCACATGGCCAATGGCCTGAGTGTAGTGGGTGACACAGAGAGTGACCCATGGTACTTGCAGTACCTCAGTGAGAGTGTGCAGTGATAGATTCACCAAGGGCTTAAAAGAAAGTTGCCCTGTCCCTCCTCTTGCAAAGGTTTCTAACGCCTCTCTCTTTGTCCATGCTTTCTGTGTTTTCCTAGGCTTCTTTACCCTTAGAAAGCTGTTATGGGAGAAAAGTCATGTGAATAATTTGACAGAAGATGAAGAGCCTTTGGATGGAATTTTAAATGTACGTCCCAATTGATAAAGAAACCCCTGGAAGGTTTGGTTTAAAGGACAATATAATATGTCTAGGTTGATAATTGGTATGTGTGCCAGGGTCCCACCAGGAGGCAGCAACTATGCTGGTTATCTGGATGGAGAACACTGGATGCAAAGAACGACTATGCAACAAGAGGCAGACACTGCTACATGGAGTATAAGAGTATTTTTAAGGGTCCAGAAATAGCGGGTACAAAAAAAGACTTCCTTCTTGCAGGTTGAGAAAAAGCAGCCAAGAGAGGAGTACAGATGCCCACACTTCCTTCCCAGCTGTGAATCAGACCGGTTGAAGAAAGCATGGCTGGCATATGAAAGAACAGGCAGCCAGCCAGTGGGTGCCAGGGGCTGTGGACTTGAGCTCCTCTGGAGAAGAGATCACCACTGTGTTGATGGCAGCCGTGGTTGGGAGAGAGCACAGACGGAGGGGTGCTGGAGCTTGTCTGTTTTGGCCTCTGACCTCCTACAGTGAGTCACCTCAATTGGGAGACAGCAGTTAGACAGGAAGTACTTTCCTGCTGGGATCTGTCAGGTCCTCCAGTGCTCTGGACAAAGTCTGATGCTCAGTTAGCTGGCATGGGAGAAAGGTTAACAGAGATCAGCTTGAGCATGCACTAAAAGGCAGGGCAAAGAAGGATTGATTTGGGTTTGACAGACAATGAGTTGATAACTGGCAAGGGTGGCACCAGAAACCAACAGCATACAGTAATTAGCCCCAATAGGGTCCTTTCCACTAAAAGCAGAAATTCTCAGAAAGCAAGTTTCAAATGACGGCGCATGTGGTACCATAGTCCCAGTCAATGGAATAAGAAAGAGGAAAGTGAGGACTTCCATTGTAATATGCAATGTGATTGTCTACCAAGAATGTGCAAAAGAATCCACTGAAACAGCATTATTAATTATGGAGACTTGTTATTAAAGATGGCCATATACCAGATAAAATATGCAAAAACCACTAGGCTTCCTATACAGCAGAAATAATTAGACAATACAATGGGAAACTCTCTAATTCATAGCAACAATGAAATTAAAAGTTCTGCTGACAAATGAAAGAAAGATATAGAAGGCAAATTACAAAAGAGAAACTAAAGAATTCCGATAACCAACCTGAATCAATGAAAGAAGATGTGGCGTTTTGGATGAGAAGCCTCCTTACTTTAACAATGTTACTTCTGCTCATAGTCAATGGTACATCCTAAACAATTCTAGTTAATATTCAAGGAAGGATTTTCTTTAACTTGAAATAGTGATCCTGACCTGACCTTCATATAGAGAAAATATCTGAAGAATTTCACAACGTGTGTACGTGCACGCGCATACACGCACGTGCGCATGAGTGAGCAGGGTTGTGTGGGTGCTGAGCATCGGGACCAGGGGCTCCTTGCTACTGAGCGATATCCCCAGTCCTTTTTTATATTTTATTGAGACAGGGCCTCACTAACTCCTTCAGGCTGCTTCTTGAACTTGCCAGTGTCCTGTCTCAGCCTCCAGAGTCACTGGGATTACTGGAGTGAGCCACCACAGTGTTTGAAGAACCTTTGAAAGGGAAGAATAATGAGGGGGGACTTAAAGTAAGAACAATTCTGAATCTCTATGTTGAAATGAACAGCAATGGAATTTTGAGCAATGAAAGAAAATCTGAAAACCCTGAAGCAGTAGCATGGAAATTGAGTAAATGTTGTAGTGAGGTATAAAAAGTGCTGCCGTAAAAGAGACAGACTGTTCAGGGATGTGGAAGGAGGTTCCACCAGATACTGCCTAGAAAGGGTCAGGTGAAAAACAGGAGTGCTAAATCGTGCTGCACGACAGGACAATAAATGGATGCACTTGCCGGGCTGGAGACATCTTCTTGTTACTGATGGGATTCCTAGGGGCTGACCTCAGAGCCAGGGGTTTCCTGGGTGACCCTCAGATGAAAGGCAAAGTGGAAGAAAGCAGTTTGTTGAGGAAGAATGAGGCCCAGTAAGATGGGAGTAAGAGGAACAAGTAACAAGTAAGAAGGCATCTTGAAGAATGGTGATTGACTGGGAAAGTGAGATTATAATTAACAACGACTGTCTGCCCCGACTAGGAGAGAAATAGTACACAAAAGAACTGCCAATCCCCCCCGCCCCCCCCCACCCGAGTCACCGCTCACCAAGAACAAGAACTATGCCCGCCTGCAGTTCTCCGCCAAGGTCGCTTGTTGCCCAGGTCCTTGCTCTACACCTGGGTGACGGTGGTGACCCCAGTGTACAGGCCGTGAGGACAAGACACGGGGTAGGCTCGAATAATGAAAGGCACGCAAAGGAAGGATGTTAAGTGCTTCCTAGGGGCCAGGCGCCCAACAACGCCTGGGACTTCAGGTGGGGTACCTGGAGCTGAAGCGGCAGGGGCCACTGCTAGAGAAAAGGCTACTGTGGGGACCAGAGGCGACTCCAAAGGAGCCTTCTCCACAAGGGGAAGAGGGAGGCGATGATCCTCCAGAAGGATCCGACTCTTCCCAGTAACCGTGACCAGTTCCTGGGGGTTTCCCCTGGGCCTGGCCCTGAGGCTTGTGGCCCCCCGCAAGCCTCCCAGCAGCCAGCCCAGCTCTGGCAGCAGCGCCCCCGCATCCCTCTGGCCCCAGCCTGCAGTACCGTCCCCTATCGGCAGGGGCACTGCGGGGCGGCGGCCGCGCGTTCCCACAGCTCCGGGAAGACCCGGGCAGAGGAGGCTTAGCCCCCTCCCCTCCCCGCCGCCTGGTCCTCGGGGTCTGAGGGCGGCGGCCTCCGTCCGACTCCAGACCCTGGGGCTCCGGGTCTTCTCGGCGGCGGCCGCAGCATCTGCGGCGACGTCACAGCCCTCGCGGCCTCACACACAGCGCTCCGGCCGGCCGCCGAATGCCCGTGGACGCGCATCTCTTCCCAGAGTTCCTGCTTCCTGGGCCAGCCAAAGCCGCAGGTGAGAACGTCCGCGGTAGAGGTGACACCCAGGGCCTGCGGGTCTCAGAGGCCCCCTGGCCTCCTCCTCCTCCTCTCCTCCTTGCCCAAGAGATCCCCACGGGGGCGCCTGCCGCGGGGCCGCTAAGTGCTCTGCTCCCCGCAGCCCCGAGAGCACTTCTTCGGAGGCACATAGCCCCCGCCCAGGTGCTTCTGCAAGTTGCTTTTGTGGACCCCAGCAACCCCTAGGGCCCCCAGCGCCGAGTACCCCGCGGGCCCCAACATCCCTGATGCGCATGCCCAGAGACCCCGGGAGCTAGAAAGTAGCTGAGCTGCTGGTGCAGTACCTGCTGGTTAAGAACGCGAAGACGGTGCTGATCAAAAGGGCAGACATGCTGAAGTATGTCATCCAGAGGTACAGGAGCTTCTTCCCCGAGATTGTCGATTTTCAAGAGAGCCTCTGACCTCCCCGAGTTAGTCTTTGGGTCCTAGGTGAAGGAACTTGATGCGACAGAGCACTCCTATGTCCTGATCAGAAAAACCGATGTGGCCCTGCTTTGGGGCCTGACAGGCGACCAGGGCCCGCCACAGACTGGGCTTCCGATGATTACCCTGGACTCGATCTTCATGCAGGCCAGAAACAGTGTCCCTGAGGAGGTGTTCTGGGAGGTGTTGAGGGTGTTGCAGGTATATCCGCCTAAAAAGCATTTCATCTGTGGGGAGCCGTCGCCAAAGCTCGTCACCAAAGCGTGTGTGCAACACGAGTACGTGGTGCGCCAGTAGGTGTGCAACAGCAGGCCCCTGTGCTCGGTGTGCTTGTGGGGCTCTCAAAGGAAGCAAGACAGATGGAAATCCCGGAGTTTGTGGCCAAGGTGAATGACACCTACCCCAGATCCTTCCCGTGGCAGTAAATGAGGCATTGAAAGAAGAGGAGGAGATACCTGGTGCCTGAGACACAGCTGCTGTTGGTGATGTGACAAGTGCCAGTGTTAGCGCCAGTTCCAGATCCAGGGCCTATGCCATGGCTGAAGCAAGCAAGCATCAGCACCAGTACCCATGCAAGCAAATGCCAGTGCCAGGGCTAGAGCCATGGTGGGAGAAATGATCAGTACCGGGGACAGTGCCAGGAAAGGTCCCCATCTCGGGCTAGCATCAGGGGCTTCTGCTGCCAGCAGGGGAGGCTGAGGCCGAGTCTTCACTTTGTTTTCTTGTGGGTAGAAAAAGAGGCCCTGGAGCAGAGAAAGAGCCAGGCTCTGACCTGTGAAGAGTCCAGGGGTAGAGTGGGCTTAGGGAGAACAAACTGCCCATGACAGTCGTGTTCCAGTGCTATTTGTGGTTCTTGGTGACTGAGCTTTCAGTTTGCACATTTCAAAGTTCTGCTTGCTTTAGCCCCCCACCCCCCTGCCCCCTTTTCTAGAGACAAATATCGGATAGACACGGATTGGTTTCAGGTTAAATGATACAGGCTGGGGATGTAGCTCCATGGTGAAGCACTTTGCTGGCATGTGCCAGGCCCTGGGTACCTTCCCCACCCCCACCCCCACCCCACCCCCACTGCAAAAGCTAAAACACCAAGAAAGGACGGCATCATTAGACCTCAGTTGAAATGAAAGTCAGACATAACCAATCTTTCAAAATCCTTGGTTTTCTGGACATTCCATCGAGCATTTAAGTTGAGCATCTGGGTTCCAATGTTTTCCTCTTCTTCGTTTCCGTTTTAGGAGAGATGTGCTGTTGTGTGAAAGACAGTGGGAGACTATAATCATTGTATGTCTGGAACATATTAGAGGATTGGAATAAGTCATAGTTTGAAAGTTGGAAGGACTTGACAGTGCAATGATTCCCCGTCCAAATATAAAGATAAAATAAAGAGCTGGTCAGCGTCTGACGTCCCCAAAACAATGGATATTTACTTGTATCTGCACAGTTTTCTGGAATGTAGGGGGAAATAAAAATTTCATGAATGAGACACCTTGCTCATGGACTCCTTTATTCAACGTACACTTACTGACCGCCTATGATAGGTGAGGCACTTTGCTGGGCACCCGAGATACAAGAATTCACCGGTCTCGTCCTGTGGCCCCCATCTGAGAGTCTAGATGGGGCTGTCATGGAAGTGAAGCAGCCAGATGTGGCAGTTTGGTGTGTTAAATGCTGGGATGAGGTGGCGAGGGAGCCTAGAGGAGAGACATTTAACTCCGGGAGGTGGGCACTGGGAGCCAGGAGGCTTCCTTGTCATGAGGTGCCTGCCGTGTGAGATCTGAAACACTTAAAGAGTAGTAAGTACAAAGTCCCTGAGGCCGGGTAAGGCAGGCACCGGGAGGATTCCATGTTCTTCAGTGGGAGTGGAAGGTTAGAACTTGTGGAAACCTGAGAGACATGCTCTGGGGAGTGAGGACATGTGCGGGAGCCGGGAGCCTCAGTTGGTGGACATTAGGGCCGAGGAAAGAACTCGGAGTGGAAAAAGACTTGTTGGAAAGCAGCTGCTTTTGGCTCTGAGATGAGCCGCCGGGAGAAGACTCCAGCTGCAGCAGGTCTGAAAGCTGTCCTGGACTCCGGTCCCTGTGTAGGTTGGACACTGCACATACCAAGTGCTTTTGATTTCTCATCTCTAGGGAGTGACAGGTGAGGGGTGAGGGTCCACTTATGAGAGCTGTTTCCCAGAAACTGCTGAACTTAGACATTCTCCCCTCTATTTAGGAAGAGCATAATGAAGGTGCTGGCATGATTACAGCTATGTTTCTAAAACACCAAAGGCCTGGGTGTGTGGTTGCAATAAGCGATCCCATTGATGTCCCAAGAAAACTGTTGGGAGGGGCAAGGGAAGATTCTGCACTAGCCTAGGCAGGAAGAGCCCTGAGGGCCAGACCCAGGAACTTAAACCCCATTTGGTTAGCCCTGGATGCCACAGAGGGCTTTTGAGCGGGGGGGTGGGGGTGGGGGGGGGATGTGATGAAAGCACGAGCCTGCCAAGCTCACAGTGGCCAGCATAGCATGGTGTGTCAAGGATGGGTGTTTTCCATGCCTTAGAACGGCCCCTGGTGGTACAGCGATCCTACTCTTTGGCCTTGTGTTATCTTTGTTCCTTGAGGTGGATGTGCACATTCTACAAACCCCCTTGTAGGCCTTGGGAAGCCGTTTGCCTGATTGATACGCAGGGCTTAGGATCTGGCACCGGTAACTTCAGGGTCTCCTCTAGGACACAGGGAGTCAAGAGGACGCTGCGCTGTCACCCCTCGCTTGCTTTCTTCTGCTGACATCAAGGACAGGCTGGTGGGGGCGGGGTGTTTTAATATGGGAGCATGCAGTCAGAGGGGAACGGGAGCAGTATTTTGGGGGGGGGCTGTGCCTTCCTTTGGGGTGTGGCCAGTTGGAGTTGATTATGTGTGCATCCATTTAAGGCCTTTTCTCAGGATCCCAAGGCACCTACTCCCCATTTGCAGCCCAGAGCCACTGTCAGACACAAGGTCAGGGTATGTTTGGCCAGAGGGGGAGAGAGAATATTTTTGTTCAGTCTTACATTGAATTCCCCTCAAAGTCATTACAAAACATTTGTGGAAATGCAGTATCTTCAGGCCACAGTCTCCTAACAGGTACCTAATCCAAGCATTGCTGTGCCATGACAAGGACCAAGTGCGTGGGCCCAACCACGTGGGTCGTTCCTAAGCTCCTCCTCCCCTTCCCCAAATGCCATCCTCATCCCAGTGAGAGGAATGTCCTTCTGGGGAGGGGTGGGAGAGAAAATGATGCAAACACCAGCAATTATTTCTAGATTTATTTCACCTTGATGGGAGGGAAACATGAGGAAGCCCGAGCATGTGTCAGCAGGGAGGAGGGTCAGGCAGCTGGGGGAGAGGCTCCTCCAGAGTGTGGCTCTCCCTGGGGGAGGTGGAGACAATGAAGCTGCTGGTCTTGCAAGGCTGAGGGAGCCCCAAAAGACCCAACTCCCCATTCATTAAGAAAACAGGAGAAAGTGATCTGATGGGGCCTCTGTGACATCCACTCACCCATTCCTGTGTCCCCAGGCCCACCATCACTCCACCAGCCTAGCGATTCTTGGAGTCACGGTTCCCAACATGGCCTCAAACACTTTGCCAGATTCAAAGATAAGAATGCTCCAATTTCCCTTATAGATTTGCTCAGAGGATAATAGGCTACAGTACACATGGAGGCCCCCTCAGGAAGACTAACATGTCTCATTCTATGAAAAAGAACAGTCTGCTCACAGAAAAGGACCTCTGTTGGAGGGGCTCTGTCTTGAGGGGCAGGGGTGCTTGGGAGCTGTTTAGAATCACAGGACTCTGACGCCTTTTCTCAGGATCCACAGATTTTTTCCAACACCTTTCACTACCTCTCCCATATATAAGCGCTACCCAGGTTTTCTGGGATGTGAAGCTGGTGTGTACTGCAGGGGGAAGAGACTTCTTGTTCTCTCCTCATTCCTGCATGCAAGTGCCCCCTGGGGGTCAGAGCTGCCAGCTGTGGGAAATTCACTGCTGATTGGCCTCCATCCATTGCAACCAGGACCCAAGGAGGCGCACGCAGCACTGCCTCAAGGAGGAGGGTGGACAGCCCCATAGGGCCGAGGAAGATGCTCACTACCTCCCCCCACGACCCACCCCCACGGGAGCCAACACCCGCAATGCACCCGAGGCTGGCATCAATGTTGAAAGCGACGGAGCAAATACCACGAAGCAAAACCAGTCAGGAGTGCCAGCGTTTATTTCAGGCCTCGTGACCAAAGAAGGTGGAGAGCAGGGGCGGGGGCGAGCAGAGGGGGCTGGATCACCATTCACAGCTCTGTTTCTGCAGTTCTGTGTTCTCAGTTTTCCAGTGTCCGGTAGCCTCTCCTAGGAAGGAAAGCAGAGTGATATGTGGCCCCTTCAGAACTCAGGCCTGCCTTGGAGTTGTCATGTGGGAGAGGAGAAGAGATAGCCGGGCTTGATGCTGAGCAGCCAGCAGCAGGGGCTGGCTCTGAGCTCTTTCACCTGAAAGATTTGGTCACAAAAGCCAGCAGTCTGTGGAACCATCTCTTCCAAGACCCATGTGCATGAGCATGATCTCTGGGCCAGCCTGGGTCATCGGATGGGTTCTCCACGGTGTCCGACAGGACTGGTTTGCCAGAGCCTTTTCGTGGAAATTTCACGGTCTGCAAATATAGACCCACAGCCTCATCCCAAACGTCCCTGCCATCACTGGCACCTGTTACCTCCTTTAGCAACAACAATGTGCTGTCCTGACCCTGTTCTACGTGTGGGGCACACAGCAGTGATCTACACCACCCCACGCCCAGCCCCTCAGAGGTACTCTGCACGTTGGAGGGAAATCAGACTCACCAGGTCAGCAGGTGGGAGAAAAGGAGTGAAGATCATGCTTCCAGGTGTGCGCGAAGTGCCTGGAGGGACCAACCCTTGGAGAGACCTGCTAAGCTCCTCTCTTGGTTGGGCGCAAAGAGAACAAAGACCCGTCCCTTCCTTGACCCCCAGCCCCTCTGCCTCTGCCCCACTGTTCCTCCCTTCTGCTTCCCAGTACACTCTGCTAAGCACTGGATACATTTCTCACATGTGACGTTCCCCGTATTCCTGGATCCCTTACTCCCACCCCTCCAATCTGTCTTTGCTTCCTTTGCTTATCTCCCCTGGCCTCCCCAGCAGGCCATCCCAAGCCAGGTTTCTGCTGGTTGAGAAGAAAAGCACAGAGGGGCCCCACTGTGAGAACAGGGTGTGCAGACACCTAGGGGTAGTTCACCATGTGTGACCATGTCCCTTTGCCCCTGTGTGGTGGCCATCCACTGTCCCAGTTTGTCTGAGACCACCCCAGTTTTCTCACTGCCAGTCCTATGTCCTGGAAGATCCTTCAGTACCAGGCAAACTGGGTGTTCTTTGTCACCTGACTTCATGAAGCACTATTGTCCTTTAACTCTACGTAGCTTTCCACACATTTCACAGCCAAGCCTTATGGATGACGTGGGTGTTTCTCATGTACAAAATGAGTCATTTGTGAGTAATGGACGGGTTTCCCTTCAAAGGGCAGAGGCAACTGCAGGGAGACTTATTTGACCCCTGAATACATATCAACTGCAAACCTGAGGAAACCTCAGCCATCACTTCTGTTCAGGGTGTGTCACACCAGCATTCTAGACAGACCCAGAGTACTAGAGATAGGATTGGGGAAAGAGCTGGGAAGCATATCACCAAGACCCCCGACACTGCAGATGGGATTTCACATGCAGAACCCCTGCCCATCAGACGGGTGGCCACTGGCTTTAAAAGGAGACCATTAACAGCATTAGAGCTGCTGACCAAGCCATCACGTGTATAGGATGGCCTAGAGAGGAGGGTGCCAGCGGTCCCAGACAGCTCTGTCCTTCATGGGGTCTTGTACAAGTCAGACGCACAAGAGCCCTGAGCTGTCCAGTACGTGAGTACCTGATTTACACACAACTTTTTACCAAAACCTTGTGAGTCTCTGGGCAAGTTGTGCCAGATACTCAGAAACTCCTCCCCAAAGTGAAAAGGTCTCCTGCCCTGTCCTCCACATCTCCCTTCCCGTGACTCCACTCCAACGAGGCTTGTTCCTACTGCACTCCATGGAAAAAGAGGAGTGTGTGGAACATGAACCAGTGAACAAGTGAAAGCGATGGTTCTTGTTTGGCTTGCAGCTAGCTACATTGTGTGGGTTGGGTTTAAGTCCTAAACTGCAGGCTTGGTGTAAATTGCCAACTTAAAAGATAATGGATAGAAACGAAGACCCAAATCACTACACTGTCATTTCTCTGCACACGTTTAATCCTCACGTGAGGAAACTTGACTGGTAAGTGAGGAGTTTCTTCCTAGTTCCTGGTCAGACCCCTAAACTCCCAGGGAGAAAGGCCAGATTCTATCTAAGACCCCCAAACTCCAGGTTTCCTTTTGTGCACTTGTCAACATACTGACTAACCACCAGGTGGCAGAAGAAGAACAGGATACTTTGTGCACTCCCCCCAGCACCCCAGAGCCTCTGAGCCCCTTATGCTGGAGATTCTGAGTGAGCTTTCTCAGGGCCCAATCAATCAGTTCTGGGGATCCATTCCCATATCTTGTCCTCTCAGAGGCTCTAGGTTGTACCCATGGTCAGGTCCAGGGATTCTGATGTCATTGGTGATGCTAAAAACAGTGGCAGTTCATGGGCGGGGTACCCACTCCCCCACTTCATTGGTAACACTGGGAGTGGTAGTTGGCTGCTTTAGGTTAGGATGAGGGGCCGGATATATCTTTCAGTATCTGAAGGTAGTGACATCTGTGATCTGGATGGCCGGGGAGCAGGGTCACTAGAAAGTCAAATCAGCAGCAAAATATTTACTACTTGCTATGCACTGAATTGTACTTCCCTCCACTCCAATTCATGTGATGAAGTCCTCACTCCCATTGTGACTGCATTTGGAGCCAGAGCCTTTAAGGCCGAGTAAGGTTCAGTGAGGCCATGAAGGGTGGGACCCTGATGTGATAGGACTAATATCCTTCTACAGAGAGACCCTAGTGAACTTACTGTCTGTCTGTGCACACACACGCACACACACACACCCCCCTCACACACACACACACACGCACACACATCATGGAAAGGTCACAGGAGGACTTAGTGAGGAGGAGGCCAAACATGAGACCAAGCTGCAAAAGTCCTTGACCTTGGAGTCCCCAGCCTACAGAACCTTGTGAAAATAAATTTCTGTTGTTGCAGTCACCCAGTTTGTAGTGTTTTGTTGTGGCAGCCAGAGCAGACTATTACACCCACCTTGGGATTTTGCTGAGCAATGAGTCTGGGGCTGCTACTGGTGGTCAGGCTGCACACTCCCCCAGAACCCAATGTGGGGTGAGGCTGACAGCCCTGCCCAGCCTCTGTGGATTTCCTTTTCTTCCTGAGTGTCCTGGAGAAAATAAGCTGCCTCTGGGCACCTGCCTTGAATGGACCCGGAGGGTGTGGGTGGGATGGAGCTTCCTTAAGGAGACTCCTGTGCTGTGGGTGGGATTCACCTCAAGAAGTGCTCTCCACGACAGCTCCCAACTTCATAAGGTGCTGAAATGCAAAGAGTATAGGGATGAAAATTGGAAACCTTCATTTGGAGGGCATGTTCCAGGGAGAAGGGCCCAGCTGTATCCCGCCAGCCCTGGGATTCCACAGGGTGAACTGCAGGTAATTATCTACGGGGAAGCACTAGGTACGCGGGAGGGTCTCAATAAAATTCTGTGGGCTTGCAAGCAGTTTCTCAGAAACTCTTCCAAGTGGGTTGTGATTCTTATTATTGACAATAGTAACAGATCCCTTTTTCAGAACACCTGCTGGTTACAGATCTGCCACAGTTTTAAATATTGTCTTGCTTACACAAAATAACCCCTGCACACAATCTCCCCGAACCCCACTAAAGAACACAGATAAAACGGTGGTGTCCCTCTTCCATCCCACTCCATCACCAGTCTCCTCACCTTCAGCCTGGTGTGTTTCCTCAAGTATTCTCCAGTCGTGTGTTCACATACACCCGAATACCCCTGTGGAAATGCCTGGCTCTGTTTCACGGGGCTGTAAAACACACTGGATCACGCCACATGTAGTGCGGCAACTTGGATTTTGCATTTGGCAGGAAGTCCGGGTGAACTTGTCCTGTGCGTTCCTGGAGAACTGTCCCATCACTTTTACCTTCTACCTAGCATTCTCCAGAATGTGCCAACGTTACCCTCTAGGGGTGCTGGGTTCACTGTCTGCATTCAGCAAAGAACTGAAGGGCGGGACACAGAGATAGCAAGCAAGCAGCAGGTTTACTGCAAAAGCCACAGAGAAAGACTTCTCTGAAGAAAAGGGGCCCCAGAGCCAGGAATCCGTGGTGGTGGTGGGGGGGGGGGGCTCTGCTTGTATTTTGTGTTCTTTGGCATTCCCTTCTTTCCTTTTCTCCTCCCTGTCCACACTCTCCTCACTAGTATTGATGGGAGCCCCCTCCGTCCACCTGTCTGTTTTACTTTTTCTGCTGGATCCCCCCTTAAGAGCGTGAGTGTGACGTGTCTGTCTCACTGTGTCCCCTGCTTGTGTGCACAAGCCCTTCTCGTCAACCAGCAAATTGACTTCATTAGAAGACCCTCGCCACGTTCCTTTGTTCTGGCCCTGCCCCCTCACTCGCCATCTTACCTTGGCTGCCCAAGCCCTTCTGGGTCTCCCTGACATGATTCTTTATTTCCACACGTAAGGACCTTTGTGCAGGTTTATTTGTTTTCCTTTACAATTTCAACGTTTTCAAGTGTTCCTTCAGTGTCCTTGTTGCCAGGAGCTGTGTTTCCTTAGAAAAGGTACCCGGAAGTGGAATTTGGGGTCCAAGGCACACATGCCGTCAAACACTGAGTAACCACCTATGGGTGGGTCTCCAAGGAGGTGGCACCAATCCACAGTCCCAGGAGCAGCATAGGATCCTATTGGTTGTCCCCCACCGCGGCTCCTGATGTGTTTGGTGCCCTCAACTTTTGCCAACCTGATGATTGAAATATGAGAGGTGCTGTGTAAATGACTCCTTTCCGGAGGCAGTGGAGGCCCAAGGCTGGTCATTCCCGAGAGCCTGACCTCAGAGATGGTCTGCAGGCCTGTGTTGGGGAGAGGCCAAGAAAGGCGCAAGTTCACTGAGAGTGACAGGAGAAGATTAGTGGCCATGAGAGGGCTCAGACGCTGCACTCTGCAGCCCTGCGGATTCCAGTGGAGCCGGGGAGTGTTCCAGAGCAGTCAGTGCCTGGAGGAGTGAGGAATGAAGCTAGACTGGCAAAGGGGGAGGATGAAGAGCCTTGGGAGCGCGAGACCAGGCAAGTGTGGGGACTTTGCAACTGCAAATAAGCAGACGCCAGTTTCTGTTCTGTGCATTGGCAGAAGTAAAGCTTGGCTCCCAGGAGGCAGCCAGGGATAGAAAGCTGTGTCCCACAGATACTCTGAGCTCTGCTGTCCTGGTTCTCTAGAGGGAGGGAGCTCCTTGGGGAGCTAGATGTGTTCCAATGTCCAGGTCTCAAGGATCTTCCCAGGTGTGCACAGGACCGTCTGGAGCTTATGAAGTCTGTCCAGGAAGTTAAGGTACTGATACTGTCCCCAAGGCTCTGGGCCTTGGGACACTGGGCAGCCCGCCAATTTTGCAGCTCTGGGCTGTGAAAGGAGATACCTTTGGGCAGAAAGACAGGACATTAATGTCAAGCAGGCACTTTGGGGATGGAGCAGGGAGTGGGGCAGGATATGGCCCTAAGGGCAGCAGTGCCCTCAGGGGAATTTTCACTAGGCTGCAGGCTGGGCATCATGTACCTGTGCCTTGAGGCATGAGATCAGTGAATGTGCAGAAAATTATAATTTGGAGATCACTCAGTCAAAGCTTTCATTATGTAGATGGCAAAAGGCAAGCTCAGAAAGGTATGCCACCTTCCTCAAGGTCACAAGGAAGACATGCACCACTCTGGTAAGACAGTCCAGTAGGACACTGAGACTAGGACTGGGATTGACAGCTGAAGCGTGTCTTGTGCTGGAGCTGAAAGGGGCCCGAGCAAACACTTCATCATGGCAAAGAGAGCCTGAGCACTGTCGTGGCAGCCAGGGCCCACACCCACAGCAGCCAAGTTCCACTCAGGTCATTGTGCATGAGGCTGTGTCCTTGTGTATTCAGCCTCTGCTGTGTGGGGAATGAGGGGTTCTGGGACTGTCCTGAGTGTGTGCGTGTGCGTGCGTGCGTGCGTGTCTGTGTGTGTGTGTGTCTGTCTGTCTGTCTGTCATAGAGGAGTCACCTCCTCATCACCTCACCCTGCCCCATTAAATCTCTTGTCACTTGAGGTTGTATTGCTGTGTGCCAAGTCGTGCCACCCCTTGCCCATCTCCTTGGTTGCAGGGTGGTGCCCATCTAATTGTTTGCAGGGTGGTGACATCAAGTCAAGGGGCCTACCCCCTAGCACTGTCCTGAAGGGACAGAGGGATCAAGCTGGCCTTATCACTTTGTTCCTTGCGCCTTGACTTCTTAAGCAACACTGGCAGAATTTTCCATCTCTGTGTCCCTTGCAGTGTCGGGCCCTTTGTCCTACCTGCATTTGGCCATCCCAGATTCACTTCTGGAATGCAGAAAAGCCTCCAGGGTGGCTGCTCGGGCTATGACTCTGGAAATATCCAGCTTCTGCTGGTGGGAGTGTGTGGGCTCCAAGGAGGGGACATGAAAGGATTCTGCTCACCCTTGGCCCAGATCAGAGAGTCCAGGTGCAACACAAGCTTAGTGGACACATGCTTGTTGACTCACCTTCCCAACAAATATTTGGTATGTGAAGACTTGTGTCAGGGACCGGTTGTTCCAGGATGAACAATGCAGAGCTCCTGCCCCAGAGACCAGTCTGAGTGGGGGCGGCCATGACAATGAACTCATCAGAATGGACAAAGCTATGATGGAGAAGAGTACACGGTATGTGTGTGCACGGCAGAGGGAAGGGCATGTGCCCAAGGGCTGGGGTGAGACCCAAAGGACAAGGGAAAGGCAGAGTCAGGAAATGGTGACTCCAGAGAAGGGTCATAAATGCAAAGGCCCTGTGGCAGGGCAGGATTGGAAGTTCTTTGGGGAGAATGAGGGCAAGGTTTAAGCATGTCTGGAGCTGTGGGAGAGGAGGAGTCAAGATGTTCTGATGGAAGGGGTGAGTTAGGAGACAGGGAGAAGCTCTTACAGAATGATCTTCTCCTGAGGATGGGGTTCATGAATATGGAAGTCTCCAGGGTAACTTGCCCCAGGCTCCTGCCCCTGTGCATACATGGGTCCATCTAAGTTCACCTTCTCCAGAGAGGCTGGAGTGACGCCCACCTGAGCAGTGCCCCAGAAGGCAATGCCCCTATAGCATCCTCTGTGCCTGGGGCGGTGGGGTGGGGTGGGGTGGGCTGGGAGGCGGGGCGAGGCTGGAGACCTTGCATGACGAGGACACTGACAGGGCTTTATCTGGAAGAGAGCCAGGGAAGGGCAGGCTTTCCAGCATTCGTGAAATGAAGGACAAGAGGGAGAATTATGGACCACAAGACTTTGGAATCAGGCACCGGAGAAGGAGAAAGAGGAGGTGAAAGAGGGAGTGTGGACAGAGGGAGGCTGGGAGGAAGGGAGGAAGAGAGGCCAGAGGGAAGGGGAAAGAGGGAGGGAGAAATGTGTATCTGGTGTCTGCAGAAACGATATGGCCACAGACCCCAACCCGATGGGGCTGCCTCCCTCACACCAGAAATCTTTCGACAAGTATGCACTGTGATATGCCTCCCTTCCTGGAGAACAAATGCTTTGGTGCCACTCGCTAAAATACATTTTGCCTGCACTAGAAGCCTCCTGAGTGCCTGGGGATTTTCCAAGAGAGGGTGCATTGTCCCGGATCAACAGCATTAAAAGTCATGGCTGCTATTTACTAAGGGCCTAGAGTGTGCCAGAAACTGTCACAAGAGGTACATAAACGGGTGCTTAATTTAAGTCTGTCTTGATTGTGGAGTGCCCATCAAACTTTGCAGAAGCGCTGTCTGAGTCCAAAGGCTTCAGGTGCTTTGTTCAAGGTCAAAGGGATGATTAGCAACAAAGCTGGGACTTGTCCCTGAGTCTGACCAAAAGCTAGGCACACCCTGTTCCAAATGGCACCCAATCACACCAGCTAGTCTGAGCGGGGCCTTCCATCTCTGGCACAGTCTGCAGGCCCCAGGTATTCCCGCTGCCTTACTTGCTACTGACCGATGCATAACAAATCATCCCCGAAACAGCAGCATGAAACAATAGACAGGTTATCCCTCAGAGTTTTCTGGACTAGGGATCCAGGCACGGCTTAACCGTGGCCCTTGTTTCCCAGTCACTTGTAAGAGTGCCATCAAGGTGTTGGCACACGGAGAGCGGTCTCTTCTGTAGGCCTGGATGAGGAAGGATTCTTGTGCGTCTTGGCAGTTTCTAATGGGCTTTAAGTAGGATGAGTGCCTTGGTTCCTCTCTGGCTGGTGGACAGAGACTGCCATCGGCTCCCTGCCAGCGGGTCTTCTCCATCAGGCAAGCACACAGGAAGAGCCCGAGAGAGAATGAAGGCCCAGAAGAGGGAAGGCACATTCTTGTTATAGCCTAACCTCAGACAGAGAGGGCATACCATCGCCCTTGCCAAAGTTGGCTGGATAGAAGCCCACCACAAGTGCGTTTCACAGGGCCGTGAGTGCCAGGAGGTGAGGATCATAGGGAGCATTGCATGACTATGACTCCCATTCCCACTTGGAATACAGGGGCTACAGTGAGCCTTTCAGGTACGGAGCAGCTTGACAGAGCAAATGGTTGCTGGGCCACTTTGCAGGGTGCTGTGTGTTCAGATGATCCCAACCCCCACCTCCGGTAGGACCATTGGATGGGCCTCCCCAGGACTCAGTTCTGCTTGGTCCTGCCTTGCTCCCCATCTGCACTAGCCATGCCTGGTCACAGAGTCCATAGGGAGTGATAGCCCCTGAGAAAGACCAGCACCCTGTGTCAGTGGATACCTCCCCTAACTCGGGCAGGGCTGGATCCCCAGATGTTGCTCCTGACCCTTCCTGGTAATACACAGAGGGAGAGCTTGGCTCCCCTTGTGAGAGCGGATCTGTCTCAGGAGGAAAACATGTAGGCATGAGAGGGCTGGGTCCTGGGCTATCTGTAAAAGCTGCTGAGATGTGCTTGCTTCTGAGCTCTGGGTTGGGATTCTGGGAAGACATTGTCACTGGAAGCTTCAGGGGAATATGTTTAAAAAATTTTTTTAAATGTGGTTTTGAGTTGTAGATGGACACACTGCCTTTAACGTATTTGTTTTTATGTGGTGCTGAGGATTGAACCGATGCCTCACATGTGGGTGCAAGCAAGTGCTTTACCGCTGAGCCACAACCCCAGCCCTCAGGGGAGCTTTTCTAAGGCAGCTGGGAAGCACCCCGCCAGAGGGGGAGTTGCTCTGAATCTGCACAGAACCTTGGGAGTATTCAGACACCCTGGCTGGGGGACCTCCAGTAAGGAGGAGAGGAGCAAGTACAGATTAGGGATGCTTCCTGTGTCTCCATAACACTTCACTGAAAATTACAGGGAGATCCGAAGCACGTCTGTAGTAAAGTGTTATTTAAAAGGGGTGGAGTCTGCTATGATTCTCTTTGTTTTGCTGTGGATTTCAAATATTACAGTAGAAAAATCCTGTCAAACTGGAAGACAGAAGAGAAAGTGGGTTGTAAGTGCCACTGCCCCCTGCCCATTTCCCGCCTTTCCCCAGTGCGTCTCCCAGCCAAAATGCACCAAGCCTAGGGGCAGGCTGGACTTGGAGTTTCCCAGGAATGCATAGATCCATTAGGAGTGGGCCAAGAAGCCCAAGGGGTGCAATATGCCCAAGGGGGTGCAGCCTTAGCCAGTAGCATCAAGAAGTCTAGGGGAGACCTGGACTTTGCTCTGTCCCAGGAGGCAGGTTTAGCTGTTTTGATGTAATACACAACAAGGGCAACCTACAAAGGGAAGAGCCTTGGTATCCTGGTATCGTAAAATGAGATCAACAACCTGAGGTGATGGGTGATTCCGTGTGCTGGTTGGTTTCTCTCGGAGGGCAGGGTGGGGATTGTTGTGGTCAGGATATAACTTCAAGGCTCCAAAGCTTTACCTGCGGATTCTG